CGGGGGCGACACTGAGGGTTGCGATCCGTTGCCGGTCACGGAAAAAGACAAAAAAAAAAAATTACTCTTTCTCACTGTGCCCTCATCTGTAAAATCAGTAAAATGTTACCTTTCACTGAAGGTTTCTCTTTTAGAGATGTTAAAAAGTTTCTGGTTTATTGCTATTGCAATGTGACTGTAAACAACATTTTCATACGTTAATTCATGTTTAAGTCCTTGCCTATATTTCTGTGGGGTTGCCATTGCATTCTAGAAATTCTCCCATAATAAGAATTTTGACTTCTCTTCTCTTGATTCAATTATTTTTCATTCTATTGTGGCTCTTAATGACATTAGTAAGGCCTTAGAAATCTCCCCAATTCACATTTTAGTACATCCTACAAGTTCTTATTTGAATGAACTTCATAAAACAGTACATATGACTTCATAAATTGGAAAGTTTTTAAGAGCTGTCCAGTATATTCAGGGACTGTTTAATACCTAAAAATACATATTATCTGAACTGTAAATATTTCTTCGAACATATTTTCCACAACTTTCTTTATTGTTTGTAATTGCAAGCAAAATTTTCCCTCATCATTTCCATATATCTTGTGTATATGTTACGATGTTGCCTTTTTGCATGGATGGCTCTGTTTGAATGCTCTTCACTTCAGATTCAGACTCAAAACAAAGGCTCTCCTCTACCATAGAAATGATTTCTTTTCCTCAGATAATTATAATCATCCCCTATTATTAATTCTTGGAAAAGGTAATGCTTTTCCTGTGAAACACATTTTAGGCCTATCCATCTACCAGTCAATAAAACTTGAGACTTACAATTTATCTTCAAAACTTAACACTTAACATGTCAATGTAAAAGGTTAAAAAGTTGCATAGTCTTGAAAGAAGGGAGTCACATCACAGAAAGAGCTGCTGTTATCATCCCATATTTAGAAACTTACGAATGTTAAAACTTAAAAAACTGTGAGTTTAAGAGCTGTAGTAGAAAAAAGTTGTCTGATCAGCAGGACTATGGATTCGTTTTCTACTTCATAGGCTAGTGGTAACATGTGGCAAATATCGTTCAAGTGCTGTTGTTTTCCCATTATAAATGGCTGAAATTCTAAAATTTCCTTTCCTTTTTTTTTTTTTTTAACTTCTTGCTAGGAATACTGGCAAAATGCAGGTAAGAATATTCAGAACAAGGACTTAGTGTCAACCACCTCTATGTTCTACCAGGAAGCCTTTCAGGTTTCAAATAGAATCTTACATAATGGTTTAGGGTTTCTTTCTTGAAACAATGTTTTCCAAAATCTCTCTCTCTTTTTTTTTTTTTT